GTAACAAATAAAAAAAGAAAACCTTTTCTGAGAAGGGCAACATAGCAGATAAAGTAGAAGAGAGAGGACAGAAAAGACAGAAAATTATGATATCTGAATCTTAGGGTTTAAATTTTGAAAGCATAGCCTGAAATACTGAAGTTAGAATATATTTTGTCATCTATATAAAACTAAAAATGAACTCCAAGATTGTTTCATTATAGCAGAGTGTTTTAAGGGCAAAAACTGCAACTGGAAAACTTTCATCGATTATTCTTTCAATTCCTTCCAAAATCTAGTGGGGGAGATTGCAGACTGTGAGCCAGAAAATTCTGTATATCATTAATGTAAAATATCTCAATGAAATAATCTGAAAGGTTGCTGCCAAACTTTGGTAGAGAAGACAAAAGTATGTTTAGGGAAACTATTAAAAACCTCTCCTTAAGCTGCATTGGGCCTTTTTCTGCCACTGTCACTCACACTGGCTGATAACTGACTTTAGTCCATTACAAGTGGAATAGTTTTTGTAGTAAGGAGTTAAATTTGCCTGAATTTAGGCAGAAGGTTTTAGTAATTTGTCTTAATGAATAATTCATATTGCTTGCTACCTGAAAAATTCTATAATGGTCAGGATAGTTACAGGGAAGAATCCTATCTAGAAAAAAAACCAGGTTTTCTGACTGGCATTTCTATTGGTGTGTCATGCAAATACAGTTTCTTCCTAACTTATCAGTTCCCTTTGCAAAATATTTAATTTTATCATGTTATAGTTGTGAAATTTTAGATTGTCCAAAGAGCAGCTTGAGTATAGCACTGATGGCTTGAACTTCCAAACAGTGACTTGAACAGTTTTGTGTAACAAGTTGTGATAAAAGATCATTCTGAAGTCTCTTCTCATGCCACTTACATAAGATTGCTTTCTGCTTTTAATATTTTGGCCATGAATTCTCTTTGGCATGGAGCAACCTAGAATAACGTCACAAAATGTATTTATTTCAGATTTTGTAGAAAGTGATCCTAACTCTCTCTTGAAAGTTTATCAAATTAGGTACTGGTTGTCAGTATCTGTGAGTCTTAATTTTAGCATGATTGTGTCTTACTGTCTCTATTCTTATACAATTCTATGCGTTGTTCATTCTTAGGATTCCCCTTTCTAACTGAAATACATTTTTTTAATATAACTACTCCATGTCTTGCAAAGTTTAGCCAACAGACACCACAATGTTCTGGTAGCCAGTAACTTTTTTCAAGCTAAAGTTGACGTGTGCTCAAAGTGTAGGAATTTAAAATCAAGGGGCTGTAAATGATGCCCTTGCTTGGTAATCAAGTCCCGTCTTTTAGCAGAATTATTGCAGTGATTCCACTGTGGCAGGCTAAAGTTAGGAGCCAGTAGGAAATAGAAATGTATGAGTGTTCACATCCATCTATGCATCTGTGTGCCCATAAACACTTGTTTTCTGCAGACAATTGAAGTGAATACACTTAGTTATGTATATTCTAGAAAAGGAGTTTGATTTTCTACAAAACTTTACATGAAATTTATGTTTGTAAACAGTTTTTTCCTGTAAAAAAATAAAAATCCACTAAAAAGACTGGAAAAGTGCTTCAAATTAATTCTTTAAGTGTACCAGACATAACCTGTCATTTCACAATATTGGAGGGTAGGTTTTTTTGTTTCAGAAACTTCAATAATTTTATGTGTTCTGATGACATTTTCCCTAGAATTTTGCTGTTAGTTAAAAACCTGAAATGTTCTCAGAAACTTCAGTTTATAGAATCACTTAGGCTGGAACTTAGTTCAGTGTTTACATAGTCTCTCTGAACTAATGGGTCTTATGTGGATGCAAATTGTGAAAGGAAACACTGGGCCTGTAAGAAGTAATAGTGAACAGCAGATACTGAAAAAATGTCTGTGAGGAACCAAAGGCAGTCAGTTGTTAAATTTATTACTGGATACTGCTAGCTGCAATTTTTAAAAATCAACCAGCTTCTATTCCCTCTGATATTTCAGCTATCCATTTCATATTGTTCCATTCTTTAAGTTTTATCACTAATTCCACAGCTCCAGGGAAGCTCAAAAAACTCTAGGGCTTACTTGTATTTGTTCCAAATTTTCTTTTATTAAATGATAAAGAAATTATAAAAAATGCTGTGTGTTATCTTATTTTCTAGACTGTCATGCCCTTAAATACTATTTAATTTCTCCTTACTATGCTTTAGTGACTTGTTTGGAGCTACCCATTTTACATTTTATTCAGTTTTCTCTGGAAATTGCTTCTGTCTGTACTTCATCAAGACTAGACATCTGGATTCAAAGAAGTGATATTAACAAAGGAGTGAATTTTTTTTTTTTTTTAAACTTGCATTGCAGTGCTTTGGTAACTGGTGGTTGGAAAAGTAGAGCCAAGCAGAGGAATCTCAACATACAAGGCTAGTTCCTCACCTCTTTCTCATGCCTTTCACTGGCTGCTGCAGGAAATACGACTCTGCCAGCAAGACCTTTGCTCTCATCCAGTTGTTCTTTGCTTGAATTTTATGCTTTGATTTTTCTTCTCTATTTTGCAGATAGTTAGATTACTGAAGGATAAAAGGACCAGAAGAAAGGTCTCTATTTTTTTTCCACACTTCTCTACTTCTCAGTTTACAGTCTATTAACTGTCTAGAAGGAGGAAAGAAAATGAAGAGGAGAACAAATATTCCTTGCTTTCCTGAGGCTGGTAATCCAGCCAGTTGCAGTCTCAGCCTCTTATAGCTCAGTTTTCCCAGTAGCTTTAGGAATATTTCCTGCAGGCTTGGCTCTCCAGTGTCAGAGCTGACAGAGGACCGTGGGAGATTAGTTGGTAACTAGCAATCTCTCATAATTTATTCCAGAATCTTTAAACTTTTGTGTGATTTGCCCATAAAAGACAGTTTCTCTTGAGCACATTAGATGGAAAATATTTTGCAAGTTCATTAGAAGAAATTCCATTGAAAATCTGTTTGAGAGAGCTCCTTCCTGATTCTGAAAATGAAATTGTAAAGGAGCACTCTTTTTTTAAGTTGTATTTATACTGGGAATTCCCAGAAATCCCAGCTGAAATTCCCTGTAGCTCTATGTTTATCACTTGCTAAGACCCTGTGGCAGCATATGATTTTCTAGTCACATATTTACTCTCTGTGACTGAAATGAATGCAAAATTTGCTATCTAGTTGGGTGAAATTAACTATTTTAGTCATCTTGGTCAAACTTGAAAAACTTATTTCTTTATTATATATCAAAATACTTCTGTTTCCTGTTGATTTTCTTAATTTTTGCTTGCTTGATTAAGTACCATGTCCTCCCGTGAAGCTTGGATAGGAATATGCTTGAATGTTTTACTAATGTAAGTTCCACAATTAGATCCATTGCTAAAATTTTTGGGTTCTTTTGAAAAATGTGAGATTTTAATTAGTCTTAATTTTTCAGTATAGGAGTCCAACACTGTAATTCACACTTTAAGAATGACTGAATGCTTTAACCATATGGTAGTTCCCCTTGGATATGTATTGTATTTAAAGGTTAAAGTAAGCGTTGATCAAAGTATTTGCCTTTAGCTGTTCATTGCTACTTTATTGCTTCAGCTGTGAAAAGAGTTTTTATTTGGTTGAGGTTTGTTTGTTTCTCGTTGCTAAACTTCTCCAACATTTTAAGATTCTGCTTTACATACAGGTTTGAATTTTCACTTCTCTTTGGAGTATTTTACAAGGACTGAGATTTTACATGCTAAAATACTTTCTGTAAAACACAACTGTAAAAAAAAAAAAAAGTGAAGTAAATCTATACTTTATGTCTTCTTGAAACTTTATTCTCTTTAAAAAGGGTTTATGTAATTTTACATAATTCTTTTGGCAGGATTGTTTATTGCCCAGCTGGTTGAAATTATTAATGTACCTCTCAAGCTGCATTTTCAAAGATCAGTAATATATATATATAAACCTCTTTGAGGGTCCTTGATATGTAGGATTTTTATTGGAGATCCTTGTTCCACTTCAGTAAAAGGATGACACAAGATGTTTACTTTAAAAAGTCTTTGACATCCTCCTGAGAATGTTTTGATAGAATAGCATACATTTGGTTACAATTAGTAAGCCAAACAATTTTCCATTGTTATCTCACTGTGTTTGTCTAGACCCTGTAAGGAGCTTTCAGAAAATATCCATCTCCATGTTTCAGTTAATTGATTGCATGTCCAGTAGGATTATTCTATTTTATAAAGCTCCTTGTCCTTTTAATTTTATCACAGAGATTTTACATAAAAGCATGTGGTAGAAAGCAAAAGGGAAATACTGGCACGGTTAAGCATAAAGAGATACTTGTATCAAGGCTAATATTCCTGTGTGTGGGAAAAAATATCTATGTGTTCCTGCTACTTCTGTGTGCAAGATGTTATACCCGAGGGCTGAAAGTAATAGTAGCTGGTGTGAAAGTATTCACCAATATCAAGTGCAGATGAAAGCTTTTGGAGCCAGCTGAAAGCTGAGTTAATAATTCTTTGGCTTCATATTTGAACTTGCACTCTGTCTGGCATAATAAATTATGGGTGACTTAATTTTATTTGAATTCTATTAGCTGTGTGATTAAAAGATCAAATCCTTATCTGGAATCTTTGCTGTGTTATTTTCGTTATTTGCCATATAATCAAGAGTCTCATCTTTCCTTTTGTATGATAGCTGAAATACATCTTCCTGTTGAATATCTTACTTTCTATTTAGAAACTGCTAAGTCTCAGCCAGGATCATTGTCTGTTTGGGCAGTAAACACACCTTGCTATGTACATCCCATATTGCTTGTAGTTGTTTGGAGGTTACATGATTAAGCTGGCTGTAATGTGAATTAGTGTCTATGTCACAGAAATTCCCTGTGCAATTATCACCCATTGGAAATGCTGCAGTGCCAGGTTTAGGCCTGATAACAAGAAGTGGTGCTTCTGTGCCTCCTTTAATCATCCTCTTTTGTTTACACTCCTTTTTGGAGAAGCCACTGATCACAACTCTTCTAACAGCAGGTACATGCTGGCAACAGAGGAGTGCAGAGCTTGTCATGCTATTCTGCTTCATAAACCTGTGTCCTTGAAGTCTCCTGCATCCCTGCCCTGTCAGACTGGTAAAGTTGTGCTGCTTTAATGAATTCTTGGTGGGAGTGGTCAATACTGAATTGAATAATTTATTTTTGAATTATGTCTTTAACAAAACAATTTTTGAAAAGGTCTGCTGGGTTCCAGATAGGTGCACAGGAAGAAAAGCATGAAAAAGAAATTTGTCCTCCAAAGAAGGGAAGGGACTGCACTTGAAGCACTTTCTGCAGTTGTCACCTCTGCTCCTTTGGCAGGGTGGGAAAGGACAGACTTGCCCACAGTTCTCTCCTGTCCCCTCCAAGCAGCACTGCAAGGGGAGCTCTCAGTCGTGGGTCTCTGCACCGCAGCACTAAACTTGTGCCTCGGCCGTCTCTGCACCAGCATCTCTGTGCAACAAAATCACAGTGCCTGGTGTCTCCAAAGCTGGAACCAAGGGTTTGGGCCCCTCAGTGCATCTCAGCAAAGTCAACCCTTTTCATTTCCTTGTCATCAGAGCTGAGTTATGTCAGCTCATGTTCTCTAGAGGAGTTTGAATTCAATTTAGCTAGTGATTAAGTTACTTTGTGTGAATTGAAAGCTGGTAGGAATTGTTTGTTCAAAGGGTTAACTTAACCTTCCCCAAGGTTGTAATGGACGCTGGAAGATCAAAAGCTCCTCCAGACTCTCAAAGAGAGAAGAAAAAAGAATTTCTTGCTTTTACAGTTTTCAGTCAATGTCTTCCTTCTGGGAAGCAAGGCTGTGTTTAACATACTTAAACTCATGGTACAAACAACTCATTTTGCCTCTAATCATAAACATAATTTGTCTGGTTTCTCTGTTCTTCAGATTTATGCAGTAGCCATGTTTGTCAAAGTATTTGGCACCAATGACATCATCTTTGTTGAAATGCTGGACAGCATGATGAATCCCAGATGTTAATGCACACCAAAAGTTAAGGGAGAATGAAATATAAAGATCAACTGTAACAGCTATGGAGGTAATAAAAAGAGATTCTGTTTTCTTCTAGTATTTAAAAATAATTATTTATATATTTTTGAGGTTTGTTTTGCATACATGATCAGTTAGGGATTGTGCTCATGATTATGTGTGTGCATAAGGACAGACTGAGGTGTGAATTTGGATAAATGCTGAATAAAGTATGATTTAACTTCATAATTGCACTACTTCCTTTGTGTTTTTTTCCAGTCTTTTACACTTTGCTTGTGCAGATTATGATATATGCAGAATATGTTTGCTAAGATCTAAATGTGCCTCTTTCTTAACTGCCAGGATTTAATTTGTCATTTGGATAAGGGTCTTGCACGCTTATGTCAGCACATCATGTTTTCTAATGAACTGTAACATGACATGCCAATGTAACCAAGAGTAGCACCACTTCCTAATGACATGTCATGTCTGTGAAATGTAGAAAGGATGTGACTTGCTGTGAATCAGGCTTGAATTTCTTTTTTAATTTTAAAATAAAATCCTTCTCTGTGCTCCAGAAGTAGCTTGCATAGAAGTATGGTTTAGGTTCTTAAGGGGGAAAATTATGAAGGTACCCAGGCATGGTTTCATAGTGGCCACATATCTACCCAAGTGCCCTATGCTGCCCGGTAGAGGAAACATTAACAAATAATACATCCATCCATCCAGAGCATCTTCAGATGGATAAGGCTGACCTGACTAATATTTGCATGGAAAATCAAGCAGAGATTCTCCCTTAATTTTCGACCAATAATGAATACTTTCTTTGGATCATTCTGTTGTCTAGACATTGTTCACTATCATGAAAAATTCCCATAGTCACATATTCCAAGTCAAAAAATTGACTAGGAAAATATGTTTCTTTAATTTATTTCAGCTTTTCTCCAGGTCTTATAGGCATAACAAAAGTTGTAGTAAAGTCACAGAGAGAAATAAGAAATTTAGACTTTTCACATTGAGGTATTGCATCTTATAAAGATGCTTAATCAGTTGGATGTGTGACACATATGTCATTGTCTTGCCTTAAAAGTCTTCATATCAGAAAAAAAATATAGAAATACATCAAAATATAACCTTGTTTTAGCTCTTCTTAGAAGCTTACCCTTAATCTCTTTAATTGGAGTGAAAGTTTTGGCGTTGGTCTCAATACAAGTTTTCTGAAATCTGAAAGCAGCAGTGACAAGGTTTGTGGAGTTGGTTGTGGTGCAGTTTTCACTATGCTGCTCAGTTCTGAGCCAGCCATATGACATTGACATCTTTGAGTATGAGAATTAATCTGAAATTATTTGTATTTTTCTTACCTTTTCTTTCAGACTGCATGCTAATTTGGGAATAAACATTAAAACCCAGATGACTTGCACTGTTCTTTCTATTTGTAGGGCTGTACTCAGTTTACATCTGATGTTCATACATGAAGAATACAGGATTTTTTCAAGGTTCCTAAAGCTGTTGAGACTTACAAGTGAGTTTTTCAGATACCCTTACAAAACCCAACATGTCCACAGAGTTTTGCTAGATTTCATTTTCAAAATTACTTATGTTAGGGGTCTAATTCACAGTTCTGAAAGCAGCTTGGATGCTTAGTACATTAGATCTCACTGACCTTCAAAGGGACATCTAAGCATTTATGGTCAGATACTGAATGTAAGAGGAGCCTGGTAGGATTCTTTTTATAGTGTTTCATCACCTCAATCCCTTTGAAATCACTTTAAACATTTACCTTCAATTTAAAAAATGGGGCATGGATCTAAATCATATGTGTACTTAAGAAAATACTACCTGTAATTTATTTAAACCTTGTGAATACTCCAGGAAAAAAGGTGTGTTGTGGATGCAGTGTGTTAGTAGGAAATGTGTGCCACGAATTTTGGGACAAATCTTGGGGTTTTGCCACTGATGTGTCATTTTTAGTCATTACTTGCTGAGCTGTATCATTAGAAATCTGGGTCACATAGGCCATGTTTAAATTACATATCAGATGACCCAAGTGTTTAAAGCAAGCTGGTGTAATTCAGCATCACTTTAAGCAATTTATGCCATTGAAGATAAACCCCCTCAAAGTCCTGCATCTTCCTGAGTGGAATTATTTCACCTTCTCAAGTCTTTTCTTACATCTCATTTTAGTCAAGATGCCCTACCTTCCAATCCCTGGCTTATCTGACTGGTTTGTGGCACTGATGCAATTACTGTCTCCATATGCACTCCACCATAACAGTTATGATAATACAGTATCCTATCATGTAATAAAATATTCCACAATATAATGTTTTTTTCTATTCTTTAGAGTCATTTTTATTTGCTGCATATGTTTTAAAATAGAATAGGTTTTCTAACAGCTTTGCCAGTTTTGCTTAAATTTTTTTCATACCTGTGTCTGTTTTCCAGCAGTCATTCCCTTTCCCTTCCATCCTTATGTTCACAGAGCTGTGCTGTGACATGCTGAAAAATGTTTACTAAGGTGATTAAAAGTCATGTTCAAAGTTATTGATTGCACATCCAGTGACTTCTTGCCAGACCACTATATTTATACCAAACTGTGTTATTAGACTCTCTGCTAGCCCAGCTTTAGTGCAGTGGCTTTTCATCAGTTCTGCTTAAAATACATTGAAAAACATTTTCCAGAAGCCATGCATGTGATGTCAAGTACAGGCTTTGCAGCTGTCTCTGTACTTCTTAGAAAGGTGAAAAAGCAATGACTTAACACTCTGTACCACCCAAGTCAGATTTTTGTTTTCTAAGGTCACCTTATCTTTGTAGATCTTTGAAAATTATCATGAATATTTATGATGGCATCAAAAAATCAAGCAGCAGCAAATTGTTTACAACATTTTTAAGAATGTGAAACCAGCTTCTACTATAAATCAAATACATCTGCTAGAACTGGATGAAAATTGAAAGCTCTTTGGTTCCATCCTCTCCTCTTATGTACCTGAGAGCTGAAAAATCATCAGTAGCATGATTCCAAAACACTAATATGGACTGTATAGATAAAAGGTAAAACCTGGAGTAAAGTATCAAATTAATCATTCTAAAGATGGCACATGAAAGTATTTTAATTAAATATTAATCTGAAATAGATGGCATAAAACTTTGTGGAAACTTTCAAAATGTTGAATCACATTCTGTCTATAATTTTATCTCATTATGGTTTTTTCCTGCCTTTAGAAAAAATACCTTCTTCTATCACACAGCAGTTCAGATGTGCATATTTGAAAAAAGTGCACATTAAAAATGTACACAATATTGTCTTCAAATATTTGTTGGATTTTTCTTCTACAGAACCATGATTTACAATCTGCTAAAAATTTAATAGCTAGCTGGAGAAATAGGCAGAAGTAAACAATTTTAAATCCTGGTGCTGCTGCCAAATTGGTATTTGGATGACATTAATTGTATGAAAACATCAAAATATTTGGTTTCATTCAAACTGGAGGAATAATGTGTGTGCTTTAGATGAGGCATACTATTTGCCTAAAAATTATCTTGAATGAAAAGAAAAACTCTTCAGTCCCCAGGACTACGATTTTCAAAGATTTTTTTGCCAAGTGCTGCCACCAGAGCTGTGGTTACATCAGCCTCAGCCTGCAGCTCTGCACGGGCTCACATGTCAGGGGGCAGATCCTTGCATATCACTTGTGGTATGTGGATTGCAACTTGGGAGTGCTGTATTGACGCTCTTAATCCATTAAAATGCAACTCTGCTAATAAACAATCTGATTTAGAGACTACAGTGTCATTTTACCTCTCTTTGGGAGGTTTCATATTTTCTGTATTTGGTTTCTCCATTTCTCCCGACCCATTAAGTGCTACTTGCACTGTCCCTTGGTTTTTCACTGAAATACTTTTGACTTGGAAAGCATGTGGTATTTTAAATGTCTAAAGAATAATTCAGAGACATGTATGCTCAGAGGTGCCTGTCCACTTTGCAAGGGGATCTTTGCTGTCTGCCATATAGTTCAGTCTGTTCAAGAGGTGGAACATTTCTTTTCCTGCTGCCCAGTGTTACAGACAGTCACAGACCATCCAGCCCTGAGCAGCACTGCATTACAATTCAAGTAAACCTCCTTCAACCAGCATGCAAGCCTTCATCAGAGGGCAAAACGCTAGTCTGAGGGGATAATAACTGAGACATTATTTTAATAAGGACCATTTTTAAATGTTAAGAATGACTTGTTTTAATTGAAGGAGAGGAAAGGAACTCCTACCAAGAGTCAAAGAGATCCCCCAGAGTTCTCTGAAGTTTTCAAATTGTCTTATATAGAAATGCCTGAGTATCAGAAATGAACGAAGGTTATAAAATCTTTCCATCCATCTCACTGTAAAGTTCATCTGAGGAGGTTATTCTGTTCTACTGTTAAAAATTTGGCTTTAGTTTAAATTGAGATGCCTGACCACTCTCTTTACTGAAGACAAATCATGAGATTCATTTCATAGACCCAACTTTTGCTGAGTTTGTGTAAGCAGGGATGCAGAATAATTACCATTCATCCATTCTTTTCAATCTCCTATACAATATCCACCTGTTCTGTCAGACAGCAGGAATGTTTGCCACAAATACAGAATACTGCAGTGACAGCAGCAGGTGTATGGCAGCAACAACTAATCAAATCAGCTGAATTGGAGGTGTGAGCCACATTGCACTTCTGTGCAGTGAAAATGAGCAGAAAGGACAGAGCTAAACGGTGGGGAATTTTTGTTTTGTTTTATTTTTAAGATCTTGCTTTTACATTATAGGCAGTGCAACTGCTAAGTGCAAGGAAAAATAATGAGGACTTGAAAAGAAAATGACACTTCATTCTTCCTGCAAAGGACAGGCAGAGTGACATAGGTATAAGAGACACCCATTGTAATCACTCTCAAAAAGCAAGGCATGGGTTTTGATTTTCCTAAAGAAGCAAATGCAAAAGAACTCTTGTCTGTACCATATGACTCATGATGCTTCTTTACCAGGCTTAAAGAGAATTGAACTTGAGTAATAGCACCATTAGAGCTCTTTACCAGGAGCTAGTTCCTGTGGTTTCACTGGGTCCAGCTGCTGATGACTCACAGAGGAAGTGGCAGAGATTAGGTACACAGGGAAAAAATCAGAACAGCTCAGAAATAAAGCAAATCAACCAAGCATTACCTTTTGTGCACAACAGAACAATGGCTTAACAACTAAGGTTCAAAATGATCTGTCTTATTCCCCTCATTTGTGCTATTCCTGTTGGAAAGACCACCAGGAAACATGTGAACCACTGTGGAATACACACTGTAATCCATGGAACATCTCAATTAATATTCCCTCTTGACTACAGCTAGAACAATGCATAGCATCAAGAAGTTTAATCTCCGGCAATAATGCCTTTTGTAAGATCAAGAGGTCTTTCCCTTGAATTAAGGTTTAAGTGAGGATTTTGAAAATTAGTTAGATATTCTGCATAGTGTCTGGTGGTGGCTACAGGTTCCATAGCTAGGTAAAATGCAAAGAAACAGTCTGGTTTTTGTTAGAAATATTGTTGTTAGTAGTTTCTCCTTTGTAAATTGGCGTTGGTGTCCTGTAGAAGAGAATTATTTCCTCCAAAAGGCTTTGTTGCAAACAAATATATTCAAGATTTTATAAAATGTATACATTGTCTCTGGTATTCAGTTTTGTGCTACAAAAAAAGTACGTCCCCAGCAGCAAAAAGTTTAAATATCTGACTTGGAAGGTACAGGAGGAAATATTCAGGATCTGCTTAAAGTTCTATTGTACAGTATTGCTGTTGTTAGATCACATCACTACAGTCTCACATACGTAGCTCAGGGGATGTTTTCTTCTTGGAAATTGAAACCAGTTTAAGCTCTAAACTGCTTGGGAGGAGTTCTTTCTGAGTTGCTATAGATTAATAAAGTAGCTTATTAGAAAAATCTATTATTATTTTGACTAGATTATGCCAGTTCTCTAATTTTTTTTAAATTAATATTATGCACTAAGAGCACCCTAGGAAAAATAATTGGTGATTTTGCTACATCAGCGATTTATCTTTGTTTTTAAAAATAATTTGGAATAGAAAATTTCATCCGCATTCCTCTTCTTATTTTCCATAAGAGTTTCAGAGGCAAGATCAGTTAGTAATTATTCAGAGATGCATTTTATAAAGATTTGCTGTAGTGATTAATGTACAACAATTCACAACCACCTTTTCAGATTATCATGTATCACTTTACATGTTTACCATCAGCTGGCATATCAAACCCCACAAGGTGACTCAGTGACACTGGTGCATGGACTCTGCCACACAGAGTTTTGAAAAGGCCCACACTGCCCTGAGTTTCAGGTGTGCTCTAGTTTATGCAATAAGCACTTGAAAAAATATTGCCAATAAAACAGATGCTTCTCCTAGTGTTTTTCTGCATGGAGGCCAAATATGAATTCACTCCTTGGCCTCTGTTCTCCCCAGTGCCAGGGCTGCATTGTGTGCAGTGAGCACTAAAGGCTGCATTTGGGACAATGATGGCTGTGCTGTGCATGGGGAGGTGCCAAGTCTGCAGCACATGGGGTGCCCGGGGGGTGTGTGGGGGTGCTGCTGACCTGGGGCACCAGGGGCCCTGGGGAGAGCTGCACCAGCTGTCCTGGAAGGCATGGAATTCCTCTTCCCTGAATGCAGCCACATGGTCTTCATGCACTCAGGAGCACATGGATGGATAAGGTCAGTTGATTTACTTTTCTGTCTTAAAAGTCCTTTATTTCTGTTTAAATATTTTCAGACATCTCATCTAAATTGACTCTTTGGCACATAGGTGAAGATGAAAGAGATGAAACCTTATTCCTATCAATGCCATACATATAGATTGAGGGGGCAGGGGAAGTGAAATGGAGTTAATATGCATTAGAAATTGTTTCTTTGATACTGTTATGCTATCCCTTTAAGATATGCTAATATGAACTTCTGTCAATACAACATCACTTAGTTGGTTTTCATCTGGACCTTAGAGCACAACAAAATTATTAGTACATAAATCTCTACTAATTTACTCTAGATTATGATTCTTTCATCAACATGCACATATAAATTATATCATTAATCATAATGATTTCTGTCCGTATTCATATGTAGTTTCTTGGGAATCCCAGTGTAATTCAGCATGAATTAATGTCCACTTATTGGAAAGCACTACCTACATTGATGTTTCTAGGGGAAAAAACCAACAACTGTGATACATCTTAAACTACAGCCTAAATGACCGGGGTGCTGGTAAACAACCACCAAAGGAGTGTCGCCACAGGTAAAGAAAAGTTGTCTTAAAAGCAGTTTGTTCCAAAGCTCATTAGGCCAGATGGCAGCCTGGCTTCAGGAGCACATAAAGCACTTCTGAGGGAATGGGGGGACTCCTCCCTCCTTCACCCTGCCCTGGGGAAGAGCAGTGTGAATACCCAGAGTGAGGGGAGAGCTGGAGCAGGGGGCATTGCTAGGCACTGGAGGAGGCAGTGCAAAACCATCAGCTGCACTTTGTTGATAGGATAGAAGCAATAATAACAACTCCATCAATCAACAGGTAACACTTCCTAATTTGCCTCAATTATAAATTTTGTGGAGAGAAGCAGCAGTATTCATCCACTTTTCTGCAGAGTGGATTTTAGCCATGAATTTCATGCTTAGAAGTGGCTGGCCCATTGATTAAAGAGGTCAAGGACCTGTGGGTGAGATGCCTTGGCCTCAGTTTCCCTCACCTAAGAAATGCAGCTGCCTCCTTGAGAAGTGCTGTGCCCTTTCTGGAGGTGAAGTAGGATACTACTTAATCTAGCTATCAAATATATAAATGGAACATACATATATACATATGCATGCTTCATAAGTGAGACAGTGAGGGGGAAAAAAAGGAACTTCTGACTATAACGAAAGATTCATTAGGAAAAATGAACTAATCAGTGCTCTCCAAGGAGAAATTCATTCTGTTTAGGAGGCCGTACCCTCTGCTGCTGCACATACTTAATATAATTTATATTATTATTTAAATCACTGCGTAAATTTTAGATACTTTTAAAAATCAAGTTAATGGACCATACTTTACTGCTTAGCATCATTTATATCAAGAATTAGTGTCTGTGGAGATAATATACGCTAACACAGAGGAGAAAACACAAACAAGCAAATATAATAAAATTCATCTGTAGCATGGGCTTAAAATACAACTGCAGAAATGAGCCCTTGGAAGAGTTGTATGTTGTGTACACACACAAGGTACAGCCTTTCCTTTGAGCTGTGTGCAATCCCTGTACAAGATACTCTTGAACCACTTACCACCACATAGGGGACCCAGCCTTGCACCAAGCTGTCATGGCAGAATATTTATCCTACTGGGAAATGTTTCCCTCTCCTCACTTGAGATGCGGAGGAAGACAAGAATCTGTGGCTTTCCTATAGCCATAAAATGGAGATGGCAAATTGAGGAATTCTTGGGGAGAACACAGGCACCTATAAAAACTGCTTAGGAGCTGAAGAGAAAGGCTGAGGCACTTTAAATAGACACAGCCTAGAAACAAAGAAAGATGGAAGTAGAGGAAGATAATGGGAACCTGAAAGAGTGAGAGGATCCTGGCAGCTGAGATAAATCCAGGGCCTTCTGCTGTGGGCTCATTAAAAGACAGAATATATTCCCTAAAATGTCTTACCTGCACCAGGCAATAAAACAGCTGTGCATCATTGCTTCCTTCAGGATAGCTGTGCTGTATTTCATTCTTCTTTTTTTTTTTTTTTTTTTTTTTTTTTTTAACAAGAAGCCCAGTTTCTCAAGCTTTGACATAAAGTCTTTCAGAGCCCTGGATCCCTGTCAATGTCATGCTGAAGCTCAAGTGACTGAAGCAATCCATCGTGCTGCCCCAGGAGAGTGGTGCATAGATGGGACAGCCAGGAGGATGCAGGAGGCACAGAAAGGAGAGGGTCAGACCCTGGGAGGTGGGCAGCGCCTGCAGCAGCAACTGCGAGGAGGACACAGGTAGTGCAAAGGGCTGATGTTAGCATTTCCTATTTCATAGAATCATAACAGAGTTTAAGGTTAGAAAGATTCTTAAGCATCATCTAGTTCCAACCTCTTAGCCAGGGACAGGGACACCATCCACTTCTCTTACTTATTTTATGTTGCTTCTGAAAAATAGAAACCTAGGGAAAGAGAGAGTGATACCATTCTTGGAGTGGGGGAAAAACACAACCCCACAGCTGAGTCCAGGAGGTCCGAGCGGGGGAACCTTGAAGGTAAAGGGTAAAGCAGAGACAGCACCTCTTTTCTCGCTGCAGAAAGTGTCACTTATCCCAAAAGTGAAGCTTCCCTTTCTGTGAGGAAGGTAGAAGATTTAAGCATTACCTTCTGATTAACTAATTATGTACAGTTTTATTAAATATGGTTGCCCAATAAAGAACAGTTTGGAACTTAGAATGTTTCCTCATAACTCAGGCGTAAATTCATCCATATTTCATATTCCCTCATTTGCAGTCTGCTTTCTTCCTGCCTGACTTATTAACTTTCTACTCAGTAAAAGTTGTGAGGTTTATCCATCTAGCAAATGAAGCCCAATGCATAAAGTCTTTGTTGTAGCCACAAACAAAAAAGTAAACTTTTATTAACAGAGATTAACTTGGTCCTCTGACATCTTACAGCAAGCCCTGACCAGGTAGATGTAATCAAAATCTAATTTTAAACACGGAGAGCAAAATTCATAGGCTGACCATCATCACATCTTCTTTGCACAGGTTAAAATTATGTTCTGCCAAGGGAACAGTGAGAAAAGCTGCCATTGTGATGATTTATTCCTACTTAAGGTTGGTTTCTTTGAGACGTGCAAGTAATTTTTTACAAAGATGTGTTTTACCTTGCAGTTTCGATCCCCAAAAGCCTCTTAATTCTTGAATGTGATATTGGACAGGTTTTTTCCTTTCAAAAAAAACTCCCAACAATTCTTTTGGTCAGCTTATTTCATATACCAGTAATTGTTTAAACAAGTGCTGTACCTAGATGATGAGTTGCTGCCCCAGCGACTGCCTGTATTGCCGGGTCACCTAGCAGTTTTGTATGAGCATTTTCATTGCCTATACATAAATAATTTTCTTTCCTGATGGATTCACAAGCTGCTGCTTCAGAGTGTCCCTATGTATCATCTGTGTGTTACCCAGTGTCTGAAGCTAAGTGGGTAGATTGCTCACAGCAACGCATTTCATCCATGTCCTTTGGTTTGGGGTGCATCACACATTTCCAGCTGTCCGGGAGCACCTCCATTACCCAGGCTCGTGGCACAGCAAATAGCATTCTGGCCTCAGTCTTTCTGCAGTAGATTAGTGACAGCAGTAGGCAGACAACTTTTGTCCCCAGGGAATATTAGAAATCTAGAGCTAGAAATAGATGGATTAACTGAAATGCAACCCAACCTCTGATCTACATTATTGTCTCTCTTCTTTATCTCACAGGGGAAGCAGAGATAAAGAGTGATAGACACTGATAATGATGGAAGTCCACGATAATACACCGAAGTGATAAACTTCTTTGTGGCCCTCATTGTGCCCAGTTGTCTTCAGCTGGTTATGAGCTCTAGCCTCAAGCTATTTACACCATGATCAGGCTAGTAATTAGCAAAATGTTTAATATAATATAGAAGCAATTAGGAGGTGATAACATGCAATTAAGATGTGTTTTCAGATTAAAGATTTTATAGTGCTCTCTTTCTTGAAAAGATAAAGTGCCTATCTCAAAATGTCAAACTGCAGTGATTTAATCTGAGTTATTTTCAATTAATATGCATGTATTCTTGCGATGTGTTCACCGTTGTTATTGACATTGATAAATTAAGCTCATCCCAGCAGAATTTATCCTTGAGTCGCTCTATATTTCCTGAATGTCAGCTCTTTATTCGTATTTTTTTATGCCTACAAGCTGTGCACGATCTAACTCTAAGTCCCTTGATTCATCCCTGGGATTACAGTAATGTGTCAGTCTGAGTGGAACAATAATCTGAAAGGGCATTGTTATAAATAGTGTGTTAGAATATAATTGTTTGTCATGTCGTTTCTCCCCTTTAAATCCCTCTGAGTCCTGTTTAAGTAATTTAGACAGCTAGAATGACAAGAGTCTTGAGACTTCACTTATAGAGTTGTCCAACCAGTCTTCAGCCTACCCAGTCTTTTGAGACTGTCTCATCTGCAAAGTAGGAAGTGCAAAGAACAGATGAGTTCCGACTACACTGCAGATTTGTTATGAGATTTTGCTCAGGCCATTTATAGAACAATGTAAATGCTACTGATACTAATTTTTCCCTGGCTAGTCAATGAAAATTCTTAGACAATAGAAATTAGGGTATTTCCTATCATCATTTAAGAAGTTAAAATGCTAAGGATGATTTTTGATTAAGTTTCTAATTATAAAAATAAAATAAAAAAAAACATGACACAGGAAAAACAGTTTTTTATTATTGTTTTTAATGGTGCCAGCTTTTTAGCAAAAATAATAATACTTCCAAGGAAAAAATTGCTAGAAATAAGTGTCCTATTAGATCATGCTGTCCAGTTCCTGAATCATGCAGGAATATTCTTTGTGATGCATTTTTCTGCTGTTTGATCATCTCTAGATTTTTCAAACATGCAATGAAGCACCCAAACATCAGAGGATTATCACACAGCATGTATCAGAAATGTTTTTCTCAATTTAACAAGTATTTCCTCTCCTGTTTCTGCTAAGTATTTTCCCCATAGCTAATGCTAACAGTTTTCAAATATTTGTGTTTATGTCCCTTCTCTTGCTATTTCTAGGGTCCACTTAATGATATTTTGTTCATATATGGTTGCAAAAGGCAGGTTAGCTGACAGTCATTGCAAAGCATTGGCTTTGTGTCATGCAACTGTGGTTAAACTCTTTTGAGACCATGGATTTAGCAAAGTAAGATAATATAACTCATCACAGCTTATGCTGACTGGCCAGTCACTGTTATCATTTAGTGAGCAAACCTGTTTCTTCAGAGGGCTGCTTGAACACGTTGAAATGTTGCTGTTTGATAATCCCTGAGTCACTGTTGGTCAAACCAGGCATATTTGATTCTTGCCTATAAATAAGCACCTGCAATATTCTTCATTAATTCTGCAGGCCAACTTCCAGACTCTCAGTGTCTCTCAGGTAAGTCACAGGGGATATAGAAGAAAATGCAGCTCCTGAATGCTATCCGTGAGTACCTAGGTGTCCTGCCCTTCAGCTCACCTTCACAGAATTTTTAAAAGATAAGCAAAGAAAAAAACCAATGCAATTAAAGGAAGCTACCAAGAAGCTGTAGAAATGTCATCTGGCACCACTGTTCATTATACAGAAAAAGTTATTGACTTTTACATATATAAATGATCTGAGAAAAAGTTATGTGAAGACTTGGAAAAAAAAAAACTTTCTATTGCCAAAAGGAAAAAGGAAATTATTAATAACCTCTGCTGAAATTTATTGGTGAGTAGGTACACAACTCACTGTACCTGAGTCAGTGGGGACAAGTTAGCTTTTCTCAGCTGATTAACTTGTCAGTACCAAGGGCAGATGAAAAGTAGTGATGATGTAGCTGGCAAGTCCTAACAGCCTGTTTTTTCTTGGATCAGCCTCAGAGGTATGACCAGTTATGTCCTGTCTACACAGAAAGCCTTCAACCACAATGAATTATATTTCCTTCTCCTAGTCCATGGGGTAATTCCATGGGAGTAGCTTTGCTCAGAGGACCACAGCTGGGGCTTGCTGGATACATCATCCAGAAGGGATACAGCAGTGTGGGAGGTGGAGGCTGCAACACCTGGACAGGTATCCCAGCCTATCCCAGCTGGGTGCTTCAGCCAGTCTGATCCTGCAGTGGGCCACCTGCACTCCAGCATCTGAGATTTTGAGGGGATTCCTTGCAAGCTGACCAGGCAATGCATGGAGATCAGTGGAGCAGCCAATGCCACCTTTTCAAAGATCACCCCATCATGTTCTTCCTGAAGCTCAGGAAAGTCTCTGGTTTTCCATGCTCCCTCCCTAAACAAGTAGTAGTCCAACGGTTGGAAAGTACAGGATCAGAATAAAAGTTTCTGATGTTAACTATTTAAGACTAATACGTAAACAAATATGGAAGCCACAGAAATGTGTTAATGACATTGAGATATGAACTGAGAGAGGTATTTCTGAGCTGGATTTGCCTTCAGCTACAATTATAAGACTATTTTTACAGTATATTTTTGTTTAATATTTTTCTTTACAGGCAATTTATCAATGTGATATACAAAGCTTACTGAATTATGCCAGTTGCGTGTTTAATAATAAATAATATTTCCAGGAGCTATTATGAATCAAAGTATGGTTATAGTAAGGATAGCCAATAGCTACTTTAACTTACACAAATATCCATTTGAACTTGCATACTTGCTTATAATGTAACCTAGCTATGTTTTAGTTACTTTTCTAACATGTTTTAGTCATGCTTCTAACAAGTTCTTTTGCTTTTTATGAAAAACAATGTGCATTACAAAATATTCTGAAATTGTGTTGGTGGTCCTTATGTTATTCCCTCACAGATGAGAAAGTGGCATTTAAAATAATATTGCAAATGGTGCTAAAGTTAATTTTGATTGCTGTTTCTCTGGGTTAGTTTCTACATTATTCAGTGATTACTACAGAGATTAATAGATTTCTACGTTACTCTGAGTTCAGAATCAGGCCCAATATTCCATGTAAATGGTGATGTGATATAACAGGAAAGTGAAAAATTTTCACTTGATCAACAGGGTCAGCCAGTAAACGAAAAGGTGCTCTTCTTTTTTCTTGTGTTTGTTTCTCTGTTTTCACATTTATATAATACACATTTAAGAAAAAAGAGGAAAACAGATTTTAGTGGTGCTACCTTTGAACCTTAGAGTTGCTTTCCAACACTTATTGCAGTACTAACAAGCCACAGGTGTACACTACAGGAGCGGGTGAAAATGTAATTGAGGGGTATGATGACAGTTAATTGTCCATAATGTATTTATCCCAAGATGCACTTATGCATCTGTTATATATTTAGGTATTTGTTACTAGTAGCTTTGGTGATACTTAAGCAGAGGGGCATCTATATCTAAAAGACAATAAAAAGGGAAAATGCTATCAAGGGGCTCTAAAGTGGCGAGACAAAGAAAGTTCGTCTCTTTTTCACTGTCTCTGAAATGAATAGGTCTATTTATTTCAATGAGATTTTTTTTTCCACATATGCCATATTAAGGTTTGAGTACAAAAATCTGACTCCTGTTTCTGGATGTTCTACAGAACTGAATTACTTGATTACCTGCAGGCATTTTAGTAGTGTTATATTTTGATATTTGCCTTTCTAATATAGTTTATTCTCTGTTTCAGCTTTTTGTTGTTATAAAACAGCTTTGCACAATAGACTAAAGTAGTGTCTATTCACCCATTGACACATAGAGGATTTATGTGTGGGAGTAACCCACAAACTTCCCCTCCTCTTTATTGCCTCCCTCGATGCATGCCTTGAGAATAGATGTGATAATTAGTATCTACTTTTATCTATATTTGTATGCTATCCAGACATTTGAGAACAACAAGTCACTGTACTGAGGTGGTGTCCTGAATTCAAATTGCAGTGATAGAGCTTGGATGACTTTGGAGGATTATACATTTTTGGGGCCTACTTCTGCTCTCTAGGAAGTCAAGAATAAAACTGTCACAAGCATCAGCAGTGAGGGGAACTGGGATACAAAAATAAGGTTATTCTTTTGGGGCTTTTTCCGCAGAAGTCAAATAGCTGAAACCAAACCACATAGCTTTGAAATTCAATGTAGATTGGACTGATAACAAAATAATTTCAGGGAAGTGCATAGTATCTGGACACTTAGTGAGTAGCTGATTTCTGCAAAGGTTACGAGGTAAATGTATGAGGGAGCAGCTTGTCCCACATCAGGCAGTGGGAGCAGTGAGATCCCCACCCAGCTGTGCAGCATGTTATGCTCTTTGGAAAGTTGACCTTTCAGTCAGTCAGTCTTTCTTGCCGTGAAACCGGCCCTGCATTTGGTTTTATTTGCACAGGCTCCCATCAAGCTTAACAGTATTTTATATGGGGGACAGTAGTCCCACTACATGTAAATTGGGGCCTGTATAACCACATTATCTTAAAAGACCAGAGCTTAGTTAATATCAGAAGCTGTTTGGTCATTTGAAACTGCCTAACATTAGCATCTTAGAAATATTATCTGAAGTTGCTGAAAACTGATATTAACCTGCTGCATGCTTGGAGTGTTCTGATAAAGTGCAGTTGCTGTGGTAATTGTTATATTATTTTCAGAAAAGTGCCAAGAATATAATTACTTTCAAAATGACTGTGCAGTTCAGCTTTAATCTACATGGCAAAATTGTTTGCTAAAATAAACAAAAAACTTTCCAAGTCTTTGCATAAACAAGTATATTAGAAGTAGACTCTTTATTAAACTTTTAACACCAAAATTATGCTCACAGTTTTTTAACCAGATGCTACTTGTAACATTTCCTGTTTGTTAAAAACAAAACCAAAAAGCATAGAGCACCCAATAAAACCCAGCAAAAACAAAACCCTCAAAACACAACAAACCCAAACCACCATAGGATGATTTCCTTAAGAATATTCTCTCAGGTATGTCCAGCATATTAATTAGGCCCATCTATTTCTGTCGGATAATAACAATGTCCAAGAACTGAATAGAATCTGTGACCTGTGAAAGGGCCATTCATATGCTTTAGTCTGCCTTAGCGCATTCCTTAACAAGTGAACATAGACCTTTTTCATAGTCATCCTAAATGTTTCAACTGTGTGTTTCATGGTTTGGTTCTTGTGTCTCCAAAACACATAGCTTCCCCCCCCTCTTTCTTTCTTTCTTTTCTTTTCTTTCTCTTTACTCTCACTTTTTTTTTTTCTTTTTTTTTTTTTTTTTTGGTCTAGTGGGAAGTATTCCATGCTCTCCTCATTTAAATGCTTATGCCTTTATGGTTATTTTTACTGCCATACCTATGGGGCTTCTTACTTTATTGCCTGTAGCTGAAGGATATTTTAAAGGAATTAAATTTATTCAGTTTAAATCTTCAGGGGCATACAACAATATCTTAAACAATTAGCAATAATTAAAAAGCATCTATTCGAACTGTGCAAGAAGCAAATAGATTTAATTTAAATACAGTAGTCAGGACTAAAGGTTTTTTTCATTAAAACCAGGGAGGGTCTCGCCTCCTCCCAAGCCTTTCTTTATTTTAGGCAACTTTTCAGCAGTTACTTCTTTAAAGTATTTTGTCAGTTGTTCAGAGCACTTCCCAAAGCATTTGCATCAGGCAAAGTCTCCACAGGGCTGATCTGGGCACACTATTTCATTGCCTAAACTGAGGGTAGAGATTGATTTTTGGAGATTTAAGAGCCTGTTCTGTTTAATTTGGGTTTTTCT